GATGCATGGTTACTCTCCATCAGCACCAGTCCTGGCTCTCTCTCTCCCCTTTATCAACTCTCGCTGGCTTTACGGCGTGAAGTATGGCTACATGGTTAAACAGCCAACACCCCCATCCCTCCTTGATCGACACTGCCTGCGGAGGCTTTCATCCAGCAGTGGATGAATAATGTATTACGTTACGCGGGACCATTTTACCAGTTTCAAAGAAGGCTGTCTCTGATGTAGGCCAATCCGTTTCAAAGACCATGCATACATCATAATTATCGTACAGGTAGGAACAACAGGTTCCACACTGCCCACCAGGGATTATTTGTCTGTCTGTCGTGCACAAATGCGCTGTCCAACCAAGTTCATACCCGCCGACTCCGAAGGAACGTGTTCATCAGAGCGTGTTTTGTTTGCGTGTTCACCACAAGCACCTGCGGTTAATGCGAACTTGACTCTTCGCAAAAGGTGTCAATTCCGTGTTTGAATATCTTAACACCTCCTGTTTTATTGACAGAAAGGGTCAACAAAAAACCGTATTAAATTTCGATTGAAAGCTTTCGTGACTGCAGGGATTCATCTTCTTGGTTATTTCGGTAAAGTCAAGAAGAAAACATCCTATTCTTATTTTTCAATGGATTGCGTACGTATACAGTGGTGGGATACATGCGTTCGTCCAAAATATAACACCCCCTATACAGTGCCGGATTAAGCGAGTGCATGGCCTGTAGCATATGGTATAAAGGGGCCTTAAATAAATAAATACATATACATAAATGTTAAAACTGTATTATATTAACTTGCATCGTAAAGTAATTGTATTTTTTCATTTTCTATACAGCAAGATAATACGACAAATCGCTAACTTTAAACACTCAGTCTTTCATAAAATTTGAAGGCAGTATAGTACTATAGTAATAGAGCAAGTGCAGAGCCACGAAACCGGAACTGATAGCTTGACAGCATTTAGTGCGGCGCCCTTGAAAGCGCGGCAAATTGCCCGATTATGCTGGATGTAATTACCAGCAAAACGTCGTACTAAAAAAAATTAAATGTTGTGGATTCACTCACTCTTCAACACACCGGTGGGCTAAAGTAGTGAACTATTTGTCTTTTGTCAACGTGACACATTTTTTACTGTTTGGCCGTGTCGGGTGGTGGAGGGTTGCGACACATTTATAAATAACGCGTTCTAACCCAAAAAAACTTTATTATGAATACGTAGTAGCCACTCAAACGCCGTACGCGTGAGTGGACAAATCGACTCTGCGTAGTCGCAGCAGCAGCAACTGCCGAACGCGGCGCCGTGAGAACTGCAAGGGAGCGCAGGTCACGACTCGACACGTGCCGAGATTGCCTTCACAGCGACAATCTGAGACCCCCCCCACACACACCCCCAGCGCGTTTGTCGTCGCTCGCAAAGCACGCGCGCAAGAGAGAGAGATTTTTTACTTTTAAACAACTTTTATTGCCGCCAGCAGAAACAGCACTGGAGGCGATTCCAATACCAAATATGCAGCCACCAGCAGCAAAAATAACACAAACACAATAAACAACACGGGCGCTGTGGCGCTAAATGCGCCGCGCACAACACAAAATAAACTCCAAGTGGTGGTGGTGGTGGTCATCGCGCACGGCACGCCGACGAGCGAGCGCTTCAGAAGGTGAACACGAGGGTGCCGTCCACGCTGGTACAGAGAGGGGCTTGTCCGGCTCCCCCAGCGTTCGAAGAAGACGCGCTGCACATCACCGACACGTGTGTGGCACGCGTGCTCCAGCCAGAGATAGAGAGATTGAGAGACAGACAGGTAGAGATAGAGAGGGAGCTACGCGTGGCTCTCAGCCTCGTGGCCGTCTGTTGGGCGACGCAAATGAATTAACGATTGCGTGGGAGAAAACACAACAACAGCACGTGGGAAGAAGAGAATGGTGGAAGGGGGGGGGGGATACAAGGCACCACGAGTGCGTTGTTCTCGGTGGGAATTCACGAGCGCCCCTGTGGCCATCCAACACGCGCCAGCCTCGAACGCAGCGCACACGTTTAACGCGATTCGTCTAAGACGCAGCGTCTCAAAAATAGAAAAAATTAACCCGTAAAAACAACGTTTTTCACAATAAATCCTTTATATGCGTGGTGACTAGAGTCCTCTCGTTCTCTGGCTTGAGATGGCTGCCACCTATGGGTCAGATGATTGCCTGCCACAATTAAGCAATTGCTAATTAAATATTTAAAAAAATCCTAAAAAGTGTAAAGTTATGGAAAAAATGTTTCACGAAAATAAATTGTCACGCACAACGAGTCTGTGTGCAAAATGTCAACTCGATTGGATCACGGGAAGTGGGTTAAAAAACGACCGAAAGATTTGCACGGTCGTAAGCGCGCAAGCAAACAAGCAAGTGAATTAATATAAAGGATTTAAAAAGAGGAGACGTTGCACGAACGTCCAGGGAGGACGAGACGGGAGAGCGATACATGCGCGTCGAGACAATTCGAGTTGTGTTAAAAACAGAGATAAAACATATTTCAGAATATATAGGGCTGGGGGAATCCCATGAGCCATAAAGCTCTTTTTCGCAGATGTCCAGCAAAAAAGTATATAAGGCTACCGGAGTAGGGAGGAAAGTAAGACAGCGTGGTGACTCATCTTCTTGGTTCTTTCGGTAAAGCATAATAAAACATAATAAAACATGTTTAATTTTTCATTTTTATTATTTTATTACTTCCTTCTACGTGACTTTACCGAAAAAACCAAGAAGATGAATCCCTGCAGTCACGAAAGCTTTAAATCGAAGCGTGGTGACTCTTATGAATGAATGGAGATTCTTTGCCGACGGGACAGGCATAGGGAATAAAAGAAGATGTGGATTGTGAGCTTGTCACTTGCACAGGCAAAGCAAGTTTAAGTTTACGTGTTACACTGATGGTCCCGTTTCGTCGGACTCCCGGCTAATTTCCAAGGGAGGTCCGTAGTGAGTGGTCACAGCAGCATCAACACAAAGACGACACACACTGACATTGAAGTGAACGAGTGCAGGGTCTTTAAGGAACGCAGCAGTATACGGACGACCGGAGGAACTTAATTCCAGAGGATAACTTACTTGATAAAGCGCGTGGCGGTAATCCTCATCAATTCAAGTGCTGTTTGATGCTGGAAGGCTTGACGTTTTCGGTTTTTGATTGAATAAAAAAAAATGCGATTAAGCCAGCCACCAACCCCCTTCGTGTTTGCCATGAATGTGCGTCCATGCCGGATTTACGTAAGTGCATGGAGAGCTCTATAATATATATTTAAAATAGGCTGCGTTGCACGTGCATCGAATTTCCACTTCTGCATGAATATTAACTAGTTTGTATTTACATAAAAGTTCCACTTAAGCAGGAATAGCAAATAGTGTGTACGTGCGTGAAAGTTTCACGATGGCAGGGATAGGAAATAGTTGACGTGCAGTGGCGCGTGGCCGTGATGATGAGAATCTGAAAATCAGAAATTCCCAACAATTTAACGGCTGCTTTGCTATCCACATCTTACTAACCTCGAGTTACGGTGCAGGATCTGAATTCTAAAGCATCGCACATTGCAGTACTGTCCAGCGGTTTGTGCGAGTGTGATCGGTTATCACTGGCCGTCTTGAATGGTATTGGTCGACTTGAGTTGCATTAACATGAAATGCTGAAGTAACTACTGGAGTATTTTATTCGGTCGGAAACTGTAAATGTCACGTAAGGGTGCAATGATGTAAATTTCGACTAACGGAGCTTCGATTAGTTGTCATTTGCCAACTCTGTCGGTATCGGATAACTTTACGAATGCGATAACACAATAGATGTAATTTTATTCAGACGGAAATTACGAGTGTCTTTGATTTATATACATACTTGTTTCATTGTACACTGGAGGTATGTTAAATAATGTTACTCTAAACAAGAAAACTAGTGTCACAGGCTCACATAGAATGTAAATTATACACATCAATTGTAAATAATAACATAATTCTGCCAGTGAAAATATCCGTGGTTAGTAATTTAATCACGTACTTAGATTTTGTATAGCCCTTTAAGAATAAAATATCAAAACCTGCAACCATCTAAATATTTAAGCACTATTGAAATTGGGCATTAATATCCCATAATGTATACAGAAACAGCTTGGCAGGAAGTCGTGTTTTGCACATTTTAACCGTATTTATTGTTTTTCCAAAGAGAAATAAGCCACTCGTTAAGAAAAAAAAATCAGTTGGCAAGGATCTTAATCTAACATTCATTTCATCACACAATGGGCATGAATGACAAGTATTGAAGAAATGTAATCTACGTGAAAACATTTTTTATTGCTGTGGATTTTACACCTGACGATTGCTTGTTGCAGTCGAAACGTCGTGAGAATTTTATTGTTTATATTTTTATTATTTCCCTTCTTCGTGACTTTACCGAAAGAACCAAGAATATTAATCCCTGCAGTCACGAAAGCTTTAAATCAAAATGTAATCTACGTGGTTAATATCACAAAAGTTGTAATACATTTCTTGGAATATTTGCAGTTCAATGGTTTTCTCTTATTCTTGGTTCTTTCGGTAAAATCACGTAGAAGGGAAACAATAAAATAATAAAACAATCACTCCAAACAAGGTGTAGTTGAATGATGTAGAGACTTTTGTATTTATACTAGCATTGCATCTCTCCATATTATAATAACAGATTTTATAAACACAATGTGCATTAGCATTCCATCCCCATTTGTACTACATGGAACTTCTTTCGCACCGTACGCAGCCAACCGTGCTAATCGGAAGGTGCGATAAGGCACGGTTTCTAGTTGACAATAGCAAAGAGGACTCACATTTTGGTAACTAAGAATTAAAATCTATTAAGTCTCTATATGTGTCAAACTGTACTAAGAAGCACACGTGTTGAGCACTGAATGTGCGGCAAGAACTCATAACCAACACTGGAGCACTCTTGTGGCTTAGACAAAAAAACAAAGTTGCAGCATTCTGCTTTTGGACAAGGAAAACATTTTTGTTAATCTTTTAATAACAATTGCACAAGTGAAATACAATGTGTGTAGCAATTTTGGTAATAACATGCAATTCGACTTCATTAAAACTTATTTCAGGTGGATATTGTTTTTGTGTAAGACATGACAAGGTTGCTTAGAATGGTAAGTAATTTCACACATTTTTGACAAACACTTTATTGACAAAGCACATTGTGTAGCGGTATACAGTATTATTCGATATGTAAAAGATAAATGGATGAATCTCATATTACACGTAGCGCCCTGGCTTAAACTAAGACTGTTAACCCCTCGTATCGGTGGTACCTTTGCAGAAAATGTACAAACGATCGTCAAATATACTCGGCAAAACAAAGATCATAACATTGTGCAATTACTGACAATGCGGTGGAATGAATGCACGTGGCGAGGTGTTGCCTCAAGTTTCAGATGAGTCATGAACGAAGTCCTTTAAATGGCATTGCAATCGCTCGCTTAAACATTTATATATATAATGTACACCTCGTCCTCGCGTCATCGCCGTCGCCTCCTCAGCTTGTGAGATGCTTGCGACCCAGGAACTGGACTTTCCGCTCAAAGGCCGTGGAACGGATCGGAGTGTTGGGCTCGTAAAATGGGTTCATTGCAAACTGTGGGGAAATGGCGGAGAAAGGTTGTTGGGAGGTGGAGTAGGAGGGAGAGGATAAGGTCAGAAAAAGAAAACTGCAATGCAATTACACAACTCGTTGCAGATATAGGCCTATGCCCTCTGGTGGAAAGTAAATGTTGTGCATGTGGTACTCTAAAAAAAAAAAGATTCATTTCCTGGTCAATAACTTCACAGTAAAACGCTGCATATCCGACTTGCTTGGGACTGGGCAGATATGTGAGCATTTATACTGGTAGGAACGAAGTGGACCAGACCACCAATAGATTAATGTGTCCGTCCGTCCGTCCGTGGGAGGGGTGGTGTTGAGGGTGGTGTTGGAAATGAAAGACTACGAGTCTTTAAATCTCACAGCGTTTCTTGTCAAAACAAACACTTTTAATTAACGTTACACTAGAATACAGTAATTTTTTTCTTTAACTCCTCTATACCCGGTCGATATCTCTGTACCGGTACTAAGTATTATTCCTACCAGCCCACCCCACAGGGTCCTGTTAGAAAATGACATTTACGCTATTGTCCACAAATAGGTTACCGAACCAGAATAAATCACAACGTGATTTAAGAAACGAGAGTGATTGAACATGACTGGAAGTAACAAGGTCAGATTTGTGAACATTTATATAAAGAGTGAAAGCTACACGATGCACTGTACTTTAGTTTCAAGAGTCGCGGGTAAGTTAGAACATCAAAGCTTCAATCGGTGGAAGGTGTTTGATACAGAAAACAATGTTTTACCTTAATGTACAACTCATAGACCTCGTTGAAGAAGTTTTTTATCCCGTCTTCATGCCTGGCGTCATGCAGCATGAGGAACCTCATTTGTATGGAGGGGGTTAAGGAAGCGTTTGTGACGAAAAAATGGCTCTACAAGGCATTTCCTATAACAATAATCAGGTACAAGACATTTGATATTTTCCAGCAATGGCACTCTGAATGAAAAAAAACAATACACAGTTCTGCAATACACTGTACACGAGTTACATTCCATTTTAAAAACCAATATGAAAAATACGAACAATACTGTAATATACAATGAATGTATACATCTATAAATGGAATTTCCATTTATTTTCGGGCATCAATTATGTAATTTACATTGCAATTGTATTTCGGCTCACAAAGCTGCTGCAATTGTCATTATAATTGACCACATGTGAGGTGTAACAGATAGATTACATTATTTTGTATTCATATATTCTGCATGCAATTGGTTTGTACACACCCTGCATCCACTACAGGCGCTACATGCATTCCAGTGACAAAGACATACGATTATTGTGTCAAATCAGCTGCTGCAATCGTGAACAATTCATCCAATCACGAGCAGGGGTGAAGGGGGGGGGCAAAACCGACACGTGGTCAGGTTTTTTTTTCCCTGAAAGGATATGGCTGGCAGTGACAAAGGCTGACACAAACCACTCGTTGAACTTGTCCACAGTCTTGAGGTACATGTTGGTAGTCGTCCACATCTGCTCATCCACGAGGTCCAGGGCTGCATGTGCAATGAACTGGTTCAGATGTCGGTAATCCTCCTGCAAAATGGAACATTTTGAATTGAAATCAGCACTGCCATTTGAATTGGTTGGTGTGAAATGCACATCAGATTACTATCATTATCAATGCCAGTTATTATTATCAGTGCAAGTTAAAGAGGTCAAAAAATAAAGTAGTCTCAAGTGCATTTAAGCCTTTAATGTGTATTGTCAACACCTTGTTTTCAAACATCGATTTTGGTCTGCAATGACATCCTGGCCTCAAATACCCCTTTGTTCTGGAACCTCAAGAAGAACTGCATGTATACAAAATAAATGGTAGTGATTCAGAGATTTTAATAAATTCAACTTGTAACACGAACAGAAGAGTGCACATGTGTTGTCATCACATCTACGCCTCTATATAAGGAACGAAACAGGGAAACATCTCCACAAATATGACTGTCGCCTGATGAAGCTAGTTGTAATTACTGCTAAAACGTCGTACTCCGATTGCAAATGTTGTGGCTTGGCTCTCCCAACACACTGGTGTGCTGTACTAGTGACGAATTGGCCACGTTCTGTTTAGGTGACAACCCTTACTAGTTGGCTGTGTCGGGTGGTGGCGGGTTTAACGACACATTTATATATTTATGCGATCTAACCCAAAAAGCCTGTATTATGGAACATGCACAGTAGTTACTCAATCTTGAAGACAGCTGGCTCCAAATTACTCCTGAAGATCAAAAGTACTCCATATATGAAGGAGTTATTGGACAATTAATTAATGTTTACAGGTGGGAGGTAACCTGATGATCCAGAGAAAGCTCACGCGCGTGTGAGGGGGCAACACATACAGATGGGACAGGTGGAATCCAAATGTGCTGTATCGCCTTCTCTTGACAAGCCAGGGTGTGGTACCCATGGGGGTTTCATAACATGTGTGTGATCTGCCAATGGTCGCTTCCACAGTGCCAGATTACAGGTGTGTTTTCTTGTTCATGTTTTTGTTTTCTGTTTGTTGCGGTTGCACCCGATTCAAGAGCCGAATGGCTCACAGGGCTACACCAAATAAATGAACTTGAACCGCCAATATCCAGATATGATGTATAGTGTGCAGTGATTGTGCGCAATGTCAATGCATAATCACCTTTGCTTCATTCTTGTTCTGAGGGCTGAACTCCATCTCAAAGACAGGGTTATCCTGGTGGCCCACAATCGCGAAATAAAAGTTCCCAGACATTGCGAATGAGCTGGATGCTGCTTAACAGAGGGGGGGGGGGGGGGAGGGGTGGAAACCTCATGAGCATTTCAGCAAAGAAAACCAATTCACACATCATGTCCCACAAATTAGTTTTGAGAAGTAATGGCACTTACAAACTTGTTCAAACAGCTCTTCTTTGCTATATATATCTTAAATGGAATCGGAGAGCTATTAAAAGCACTTAAACTGTAAACTTTTTCTCTCGAGTCTATGAAAATGTTAATACTGCAAATTTTATGGCAACATCCTGACAGACTGGTCTCTGAAGACGTTTCTAAAACAATAATATGCTGACAGCACTTTCTGATGAGGTCTCTAGACAATAACAGACTGACAGACAAGTCTCTGATGGGTCTCCAGAGAATAACATACTGACAAGCTAGTCTCGCATGGGGTCTCTACAACATAACAGACTGAAAGAAAGCTTTCCGATGGGGTCTCTAGACAATAACCAGCAAACTGATCAGTCCCTGCTGGGGTCTCTAAACAATAATAGAACAAGAGACCGGTCAGTGATAGGGCATCTCGACAACAGACTGTTCACGGATGGGACCAATGGACAATATTTGACCGATAAGCTCGTCTCTGATGTGGTGTTCTCTCGACAATAAACCGACAGATTCGTCTCTGGGGTCTTCATACAAGCGAGGTGGGGAACCTCTTTTTTCCGATGACCAAAAAGGGCTTTCAAAATCCTTTGGCGGGCCCCACATGACCGGGCACCTCAGTAACTTGTTACTTTTGAAGGTAAAATGGTATCGTGTGGTAAGGGCCCTTTAATCATTAAGCCATTGGCCCACACGGCTCGGAGATTACACGACCCAGACCAGTCTCTGAGGGAGCCACTGGACAATAATACCGACACACAATGACCACTAAGACTACTCAGACCAGTCTCTCAACGATATCGATACATAGCAGATCAATCCACTCGCGGCATCTCGCATTAACGTCAGCCACGGGAAATCTACTGCTGGATGATGGGCCTCTCCTAAGGTGTCGCCCGCGACCCTGCCACGTAACAACCCCATCACAGGCGGCGATTAACGGCACCGTAACTTTACACAAACACTAAAATCAACAAGCAGTCACATGCTCGGAAGTGTTAAATCAACGCGCAGTCAAACATCAACGAGTGGTCTATCAAGCTAAGTGTTCACACACACACACGGAAGCTTGTGTTGCCTCCGAAACGTCGTGATGTAATTTGTTTTCTTTTTTAACCTACGTGACTTTACCGAAAAAAACAAAGAGTATGGATCTTTGCAGTCACGAAAACTTCAAATCTAGAATGAGTACAAATGTGTTGCCGATCACCACCCGGGAACGGTGATGGACGGAGCCTGCGGAGTACCCGGGTAAGGCGCGCCTCCCCCGGTAGGAAAACTAGGCAAGAGACGGGGTCCGATTGAGGCCGCGGCTTCCTCTTCCTTCTCGTTACACACGCACGTAGCAACAGCAGTAGTAGTAGTGATAACGTTAACACGTTTAGCGAGCCGATATACTTACCAGAGGAGTCGGACACACAAGAGGAAGGGGGGTGGGAGATGACTTTGACGAGGTGGAGAGCGGCCCGAACAAACCGAGTCGATTTGAAACGATTCGATTCTCGCGATTCCACGAAGCGAAGTTAACCCGCGCGAGGAATCGATTCCGCGTCTATGATTTGTACAAACAGCAGTGCCGTGCTTGTTGTCCCGCGCCTGGTAGGAACCTCCTGGTTACACCAGCCCACAGGGGATTGTTGTGTCCGTCCGTCCGTCGTGCAGGGAGGGGCTGGGTGGGGAGGGGCTGGGTGGGGAGGGAGGGGCTGGGTGTGGAGGGGAGGGTGGAGCTGGGTGGGGAGGGGCTGGGAGGGGAGGGTGGGGAGGGGCTGGGTGGGGAGGGGCTGGGTAGGGGTGGAAGGGGCTGGGTGAGGAGGGCTGGGTGGGGCTGGGTGTGGAGGGGAGAGTGGAGCTGGGAGGGGAGGGTGGGGAGAGGCTGGGTGGGGAGGGTGGGGCTGGGTGGGGAGGGAGGGGCTGGGTAGGGAGGGGAGGGGCTGGGTAGGGAGGGGGGAGGGGCTGGGTGGGGAGGGTGAGGAGGGGCTGGGTGGGGAGGGAGGGGCTGGGTAGGGAGGGGAGGGGCTGGGTGGGGAGGGTGGGGAGGGGCTGGGTGGGGACGGTGGGGCTGGGTGGGGGAGGGTGGGGCTGGGAGGGGAGGGGCTGGTCACCCCGTGGTGCCCTTATAAAACTCAACGTTTAACCTACTCACGCCGGCTTGTGCCCGCCTTCACAGTTGGGCATATTTGCGGAATACACCACGCCGCCGTTGACCCTGGCCATTGACCGAGCAACCCAACGTTCCTAGCAGCTCCCTCCGCAGGAGGAATGTGTTTGTATTTGCCCGTGAAGTTAATTGCGATAAATTTCTATTTAAAGCTTTCGTGACTGCAGGGATGTATCTTCTTGGTTTTTTCGGTAAAGTCACGTAGAAGGTAAATAATACAATAATAAAAATAAAACATAATAAAATAGAGAATTTTATTTTATAAACCATAAATATAAAACATAATAAAATAGAAAATTTTATTTTGTTTTATTTTTATTATTTTATTATTTCCCTTCTACGTGACTTTACCGAAAAAACCAAGATGAATTGCGATAATCGGGGGGGGGGGGTCAATATATTTACTGTATTTAGCAGTCACTTTGGTGTCTTTATGATACATTAAGTAGCTAAGCTTTGCCACAAAACGCATCGTGCGTGCTCTGGGTGTCTCGGAGACGAATGTTTATGTTTTAGAGCCCTGCGTGAGCCGTGGCCAATAGGAATCATTGTACTTGGAATGAATGCGGATTCTCGAATAACCTTGCCAGAGCAGAGGTTTTTTAAAACTCCAGACGTAGTTATTTTTTTAGTTTTTATTCACATTGACGTATACTTTTAAATAAACAAGCGAATTTATTCTGCATGCAAATAAACGAGACGTGTACGATATTTTCGCACGGATTCTGATCTCAATCAAATATAATTCCTTCACACAAAGCTGTACTCATTCACGATTAAGGTCTCATTCCACAAACAACAATGTGTTTATTCGTTAGATGATATATACACACACACCCTACGTACGATTTAACACGATTAATTATACAAATTATTTATTAAAAGAGAGGTTTTCCCTCCAGGTCTGACACCAACAACGACACGACAGGGCCCAATGTCGTGGTGCCCATCGGCTGTAGTCAAACCGCACAATCTCCTCAAAACAACAAACAAAACCACGAATATTTAGGTCTATTTCACGGATCTAAGTTATAAAAGCTCTCGAGAACCATCGCTACCGAGGGATTGTGAGCAACACACGCACCGAGCCTCGTTATCGAAGCGTTCACGACTGGTTTGTCGCGATCGATAATTATTACAGCAAGAAGTATCGTTTTTATTAATTTGTTTAGCAACATACACCAGACACACGCGAACCGACGATTTGCAACACGCACTCGACGAACGCATCTTTAACATGACGAGACGAGGATAAAGCAGCCCCCTTCCCCCCGTTTAAAAAATATAATTAGCAAGCCGAGAAGCAAAATAATTATTTATATCATATTCCAGAGATCACTCACGACGCGTCAAGAACTCCGCCACGCCTGAGGCTCAAGCAAGCGACATGTTTCTGCTGTGCGCCATCAGACGTTCAAGGGCCCTCTCAAGGGCCACGTTTCCCTCCACGTTCGAACACCACCACCAACATCACCAACACCATCACCAACACCACCACCTACATCACCTACATCACCACCACCAACATCACCAACACCACCAACATCACCACCACCAACATCACGACCAATATCACCAACACCACCACCAACATCACCAACACCACCACCTACATCACCACCACCAACATCACCAACACCACCACCAACATCACCAACACCATCACCAACATCACCACCAACATCATCACCACCGCGTGGGGCCGTGGGCGAGGTGGCCGCCGATGGCCGCAGGGCCCACGAGATGTCTCAGCGCGGCGTCGCTGGTGGCCTCGGCCCCCGAGTTCACGCGGCCCTATCTCCGTCTCATGCGGCTGGACAAGCCCATAGGTGGGCCCACCCCCGGAGTGTACTTGTGTGAGAGTGTGACCTCGAAATTAGCGGTGGAAACATCTCTCTTTTTATTTTACACGCTTTTATTGAACTCACTATGCCTGGTGTTGTTGTATCGTCAAATCTTGTAACTTAATTTTAACCCACTTCCCAATGTGCTATCGACTGCAAACTTGGTATACTTGTGTCATACTGATGACAATACCATATTATATCATAAAAATGTAAAATAAACTTTTAAACTATCTTTTTACACGCTTTCTATGATCTCACTCTGTTGTATCCTCAAATCTTGTTACTCAATTTGAACCCACTTCCCAATGTGCTATCGACTGCAAACTTGGTATACTTGTGTCATACTGATGACAATACCATATTCTATCATTAAAAAATATATATCTTTAAACATTTTACAGGCTTTTATTTAACTCACTCTGTCTGTTGTCGTATCCTCAAATCTTGTAACTCAATTTTAACCCACTTACAAATGTGGCATCGACTGCAAACTTTTGGTATACTTATGTCATACTGATGACAATACTATATTCTATCATAAAACATTTTTTAAACTTTTAAACTAACTTTTTACACGCTTTCTATGAACTCACTGTTGTCATATCCTCAAATCTTGTAACTCACTTTTAACCCACTTCCCAATGTGGTATCGACTGCAAACTTGGTATACTTATGTCATACTGATGACAATACTATATTCTATCAATAAAATAAGTATTTTTAAATAATCGTTTTTTATATGTTATGTTTCGGCTTGGGTCTAATTGTCCACGCTCAACTCACGTTGGCTGTAAATCACCACGGGCCCTTACGTTATGGCAAGCTTCGGGGCCACTTCCTGGAGTCGTGGAGTTCTGCCATTACGAGTAGGGAACATTTCATTAAAGCGTGTTTAAAAAAAGTATTTTTAAATATTACTTATTAGCAACAAACACCAACAACAAAACCCAATGATCCATCACAGGTTTTTTTTACTTGAAGCTTTCGTGACTGCAGGAATCCATACTCTGGTTCTTTCGGTAAAGTCACGTAGGTAGAAAAAATATCTACGTGACTTTACCGAAAGAACCAGAGAGTATATGTTTTTTTGTATGTTCGGTTAGATCGGGTAAATATATGTGTCGTGAAACCCGCCACCACCCGACACAGCCAATTGGAAAGGTTTGTCACGTAGAACATGCCAATTCGTTACAACATTTACGATTTTAATCTCCAACACACCGGTGTGAACTAATAACTGACATGTTTTGTTTACGTGACAAACCTCACTAATTTGTGTAGTGTTGGGTGGTGGCGGGTTTCACGACACATTTATATTTGCGAGATCTAACCCAAAAAACCTCTTATGGATAATATTGGTCGCAAAAGCGTGCGTGTTAAAACCCTGTTACTGTGCAGTATTGCCATTTAAGAATGCACTGTATTCCATTTTAGAGCTTGAAATTCACATTTTTAGTGGTGAACCATAATGGTAAAAAGACAATTAGTATATCATTTTAAAGTGTAAAGTGACTTAATGAGTATACTTGCACACGAACTTGGTCTGGCATCAGCATCACTTGTTCGAAGTGTACTGACACAACTCAGCTTATTACACAAACTATTAACCCTGCCCCTGGCCCTCCTTGGCTCACCAATGTCGAAATTCAAATGGCTTGTGAGGCCAAAGTTTCACTGCTTGGGTCTGGTTCAACTCGACAAGTGGCCAGTGGATAACCAACTCTAAGGGTCTCGTGCTAGATGTGCCATTGCAAAAGGCGATATTTTATTGAAGGACTACTGTTTGTGTTATCTTGGTGTGATCTGGGACTGGATTTTTTCTGCCTTGCCCAATCTTGATCAATCGGACTTACATAATTAATTAGTTATATTTCGTAACTTCCTTACCATTTCCCACATTTTTCACTCCTATCGTTTTTTATTGTTTGCTGTTGTAACTTGCTGACCTGCCCATACCAGACATGTACGAAAAAAATAGCTTCATAGCAAGGTGCTAACAGTTTGCTTTCCAAGGCACCTGGCTGCTCTACCTGCCGTGCACCTGGAGCATCGCGTTGGCGAGTGCTCCAGGCTGCCTGCCCGACCTCGAAATGCTCGCACTGTTTGGCCTGGGCGCGGTGTTGATGCGTGGCGCCGGATGCACCATCAACGACATGTGGGACCGCGACTTCGACCGAAAGGTGAGCCCCATCTCGATGGCTGGCTTTCACTTTTTTTGTTTTAATCGTTCATCGTTCAGCATCGTCAACAGCCATTATCTCCCAACTGCTGGATGAAGGTTTTTCCAAGCCATTCCCGTTTCTCTGAGGCAAAGAATAATCGTAAGAATTGCATTGCAGAGTAAACATTTGCACGTTTACGAATGAATAAATCTGCAGTGTAACACTACAACGTTCATAAGCCCTATTTGTGAGTGTGGAGCACTTGGACATCGGTCTAATATTCATCTCGAGATGGTCACTCACCAACTCGCTCTGTGCAGGTGGCTCGTACGGCCACACGTCCCATCGCCTCTGGGGAGGTGAGCCGCTTGGGAGCCCTGGTGGTGCTGGGTGCGCAGCTCAGTCTCAGCCTGGGCATCCTCCTCTGTCTCAACAACTACAGGTCGGGTCCATGGCTTCAGGGCCTCGACCGTTGCTGACTAAATTAACGCTGCACCACCATTCCTCCTGCCTGCAAAATAGCGATGTTGTTGGTTTTGGAGCTTTGGGCCTGTGCTCAGCAACCGTGGTAAAGGATAACCTGCAAGGGATGTTTCGATTTAAAGCTTTCGTGACTGCAGGGATTCATCTTCTTGGTTCTTTCGGTAAAGTCACGTAGAAGGAAAATAATAAAATAATAAAAATAAAACATAATAAAATAATTCTCACGACGTTTCGGCCACAACGCAAGCAGCCGTCCTTCAGGTGGAGAACAGGTCTGTCGAGAAGGCAGACTCTGTCGTGAGAATTATTTTATTATGTTTTATTATTTTCCTTCTACGTGACTTTACCGAAAGAACCAAGAAGATGCAAGGGATGTGTATAAAGTTGCATTGGGGAACCTTTCCTTTTCTGAGGGCCAAAAAATAATTTAAAATACCTTTGGCAGACCACACGTTAAAAACACACCACAGTCACTTCTATCACTGTGATGTGCCTATGCAGTGAGAGTAGTGACTGATGCAATTCGAAACAAAGTTCACAGGTGGAATATATTCCCTCCTAGTAGCTAATTAGTGGAGATAAAATGCTTGCAATGTACGATTTTTTTTACATTATTTTTCGTATGAAATTAAGTTGCGGGTCAGATATGGCTCACCTCTTGTGTAAAAGTAATACTCCAGCTGTCATCTGGCGAGAGATTTGCAATGAACCTCAGTGGCTTTGCACAATGGTGATTTACATTTTCAGGTGTCATTTTCTGCAATGCAATTATAAGCACAGACGTATAAATGGCTCATTGAGAAATCTTGCTGTGCCTGTCATTCGTGCAGCATAGTGCTGGGCGCGTCTTCTCTACTTGTGGTTGTCAGCTACCCCCTGATGAAGCGAATAACCTACTGGCCACAATTCGTTCTAGGTAATGTATGTCTTTTGTATGAAAAATAATATCACCTTGACTTTACCCCCCACTGTACGATTTCCCTGACTTTTGTAAGCAACAATGTTAAGTTAGATTATTGTTTAAATGTGCAGTGATGACACCTTTACGATGATTAAACCAGCCGACCTTGTTAAATCTCAGAAGTAAGGTCGGATTGAGCCTGGATTTTGTTTGGATGTGGGACTGCCATGCAAAAAAAAACCTGCTATGTAGGCTGGGGATACATATCAGCAGGGGGCAGTGTAGGAAAGTGTATGTGGTTAAGCACGGTCAAAATAACCCGTGCAATTTGCAGTGTGTGGAGGCCATTCTCCACCAGCGCATTAACAACATGTACACATAATACATAATACTTGACTTTATTGACCATGCTCGTTTACTTTGTGAAAGAGAATTGATTCAAGAGGGTAGTGAAATCACACCGTATAACAAGAACATTAACGTTGGCTTTAAACTACAGTTCAAATTTACTTGATGAATCGTGATGCAGTATGCACCAGATTAAATATTGCGCATGTCTGACAATGCCACTGCTACTTTATTAAAAAAAAATACATTTACTGGACACCACGTAACGTGAAACGGAAGCAAAAAATGTCACCTATGTGTACCGCATGTGTGATTTATTCCGACATTTCCATTCCCTCCGCTGTAGGGTTGGCATTTAACTGGGGTGCTCTGCTGGGCTGGGCAGCAGTGCGTGGCGCTTGCGACTGGAGCGTTTGCCTTCCGCTTTATTTCTCCGGAATCATGTGGACGCTGATCTACGACACAATATACGCTCACCAGGTGTGCATGGTGGTCACTAGCCATGATGACTTCTCAAACGCCAGTCATCTGACACCGCCTCTTCTCTGTGGAATGAGTAAAATAATGTATACAATAGTGGGCTCTATAAATCCAGCTGCTCCCCAAACCGATTCCCTTGGAAGCAGGAATTCCAAATGTGATCGTATTACTATCATTGATGTACCCAGATGAGCACAGTTGGCTATGTACTGTGCGAAAAAAGTTCAACATACATACATATATAGCATGGCTTCCCATAGTTTATAAGATAGAGGCAGTGATTTTTTGACACACATTAACATGCCCCTTAATCTTATCCAATAATATTGCAAAACAATTTATTAGGGCTCATAATTATTTGTGCTAAACTTAAAAACACTTTGCCAAGTGCAGTGATGGATAAAAATCGTCTGCAGGCCGTTCAAAAGTGCTAGGCCTCATGTGGCCACGGGCCATATTAAATGAAGTCACAATCTTTATTCGGCCTAAAATTGTTACGTTTGCAACTCGTACCCTTTTCCACTGGCACATCTAAGCTGTGCCAGCGTGGGTCCCTCATGCTACAGGTGCTTTTTCACTTGCTTTTTGGGAACCAAATCGTGACATGCTGGCCTCACAAAACATTTGAATCTGGCTCAGGGCCAAATAAGGCCAGTCCAAATTATGCATTAATTGCTCATAACTTCAGTCAGTACATTGTGGAAATAATAATAAAATTTCAATAGCGCTTTTCATCAAGGATCTCAAAGCACAGGACACAACAGCAGTATAAAAATAATAAAATCATTTTCCAAATGAACAAAACATTTAATACGCGGAAACATATAAATGGGTTTTTAGGCGGATTTTTTTAATATCCACAAACTCAGAGATCCTGATAGCTTGTGGAAGAGCGTTCCATAGCCTGGGGGCTACACGGGAAAAATCTTGGTCACCCATAGACCGAAACCTTGACCTGGGAATAGAGAGAAGATCTGCATCTCCGGATCTTAGGGACCTTGAGGCGGCATATGGATGAAGCATGTCAATGATGTAGGCTGGGGCGAGATGGTTCACTGCTTTGTAAATTAAAAATAGGATTTTAAACTGTGTTCCTATGTGAAACTGTAAGCCAGTGCAGCGAGGCCAAAACAGGTGTAATATGATGTGAAAATGTGTTCTGGTTAATACCTTAGATACAGTGCCCCTGCATCGTCCACATGTGTCTTTGACTTGGACGTTGCATGTGGAGTCTTAACAGTAAGGTTCTGCAGCGGTTTGGCGTGGCTGGGTTGTGTACGGTGCAAAACGAGATACAGCAGATGAGAATTCGTGGAACAAAGTCAAAATGAGACACGTGGCCCTGAGTGTTTTCCGATGCCTCCCCTCCTCCCTCCCCCCTCCCCACCGTCATAGGACAAGGTGGACGATGCGGTGGTGGGCATCAAATCCACGGCCCTCCTCTTCGACGAGAGCACAAAGTCTTGGCTGGCAGGGTTTGCTGTGGCCATGGCGAGCGGTTTGGTGGCAGCTGGGGTGGCCAGTGAGCAGACCTTGCCTTACTATGCCTCCGTAGCACTCGTGTGCCTCCACGTGTCTAATCAGGTACGCACACCCTGACACGTCAAGGCTCTGTATGTTAAACTGTGTGCTGTTTTTACCACTACAAATATACCAATGCACTGTCATACTCATTTTCATCCCACGGTTGATCGAGTGCACAGGGCCGGGTTAGGTACCACATGCCACTGATGTTAACCGTCAGGCCGCGCAGTGGTTAACATACTGATACTGTAGGTAAACTTGAAATGCTTTCCTTGCTAGTGTTAAATACATGTATACATTTATGCGACTGCATATTTTACATTTCTTAACTGTGCTCAACTAGTTTTTTTGTTTGTTTACGAATATTTGTACATGTGGACTGTGCGTCCCATGCATACCTTGTGTTTATGTATATATATATATAGGAATGCAGCTATCTACGAGTCATCCTTCGCGTGGTAATTTAGTTGTTAGATTAAGCCCGTTGGGTTCATCTCAATGAATGATCTTCTACAATTACAAAATGAGCTTATGTTTGCAAGCACATCATTATCGACTTTAAGTAGCATCGATTTGTCTGTGCATTTGCAATGCATGAGAATTTTCCGCTCGACTAGCTTGTTAGGAATGGCACGTGTCAAGAATCCAAAGTTAGCACTTGGCCACGATTCCACGAGAGCGCGCTGTCCACACGGCCGTGCTGCCGAAGCTCCTCATCCCACAGTGCACAAGCGTCCATTCATATCAAACATAGTAACATGATTGTTCGTTTTAAGGCACTTAAATTAAAAACACGTGTTACTTTATTGAGCTAAAGACTCATAACAGAATAAACGACAGCAAGTTAAAAAAGGGCATCTGTGCGAGCCTAACAAGGCATAATGTTACCGTTAATCAACCCGGGTTACGTTTGTTCGCATAAGCTGAAACAGAGCATTTCCTGAACATGTATCTGAATTTGGATAATGCAGTCAAATACTGACAATGGCAGAGCCAGGTTTTTCAGGTAGAGGGGGGGCAACCCCTCCAGCAATGAAACATTAGAGAGGAGTTGTTCGTAAGTAAGGACTTGTCCCTTGCGTTTTATTCGACGCGTGTGCGGCAATGGCACAGCCATCGATCGGGGGTCGAATTCGAACCGTGTGTGATTGGCATCGCGCTCGCTGAAGGTGTTTGCCTTCAGGGAAGTCGTGAACTGTAAACGCAACTACGCACAATTCTGTGAGTCGCTTATAACTGCTTTGCCGTTACTTATTGCCAATTATGGACTCAGACTATTGTCCTATCATCTCATAGAGTCTCTGGCACATAATAATATGCTACACAGTGGCAGTGGGGGTCGCAAAATGCCAATTTATTACTAACAAACCCCAATGATCCGATCGAAATTAGGGATTTCGATCGGATCATTGAGGGGGGCACGTGCCACTCTACCCCCCCCCCCCCCCACTGGCTCCGCCAGTGAATACAGAATATGTTGATTGTCAGTCTTAAAATATAAAATAATCTATACCATCAAATAGGCATGACTCAGGTTTTTTAAATGTTATGCTTTTGTTTATTATGAACATGACTTCTTAATGAATACATGATTGAGTTTTAGGTAATTAAAAGAGAAAAGATGCCAACTTGTATGCTTAACAAATCGAGAAATCAACTGCCATTAATAATAATAGTCCGTGATGTTGATGATTACATTGCAAGACCGTGGGAGATGGTGGCGGATTGGGGGGTACTCTCATAGGTTGAGCGTGGCTTCTCATACTGATATGTAAATATGTTCAATTATGTACAAATGTACACTATCATGTTGCTCTCAGAGGTTCAAGGCAACCTCCGGCGTGGTTTTCCAGACGTCCATCGTAATGTTTTATACATCTCGTTTTTAAAACTGTCCTCCCCGAGCAGCTTACATCAAATCATTTTAGCGACCTCAATAATCAGTCCTGAACCTTGTTGTGACCGCCCCTTGTTCCATGGCTCACAACTTTAAATCTTCACAGCTGCCGGCCGGCGATGTTGATCGCTCGGCTTGACCGCAGCCCCTTTAACTCGAGCCTTGCACTGCAGATCCGCACACTGGACGTGGACAACAGCGATGACTGCTGGAATAAATTCTGCTCCAACCGCACACTCGGCCTTCTTCTCTTCGCTGGGATTGTGGCCGGCACCCTGGCTAAGGGGAAGCAAGCGCCTCAAGATGGACGAGGACATGAAGGCGCCGTGTCGGCTGAAACCCACAATCAAGCTGAATAAACAAAAGCGATGGGCTTAAGAGTCCACGGCAGTTGTTTGCATGTGTGTACGTTGAACTTCTTTCGCGCCGTATGTAGCCAACCGCGCTAATCAGAGGTGCGGGAGAAGGACAGCAAACTAAACACAACAATTTTTTAATGTATATTTTTATTACAGTATTGCCAAGTTAGTGCTCGGAGAACTGATCGCCTGTCTGCAGCACGGAACCGCTGGTGGAAACAACACATTTCTACAGTGATGTTGAATCGAGACAATCCCAAGGACAACCACTGTTGACTTTCCACAAAGTGGTGCTTATTTTATCGACCCCAGTCAGCATGTAAACTTTGATTTCAAATATTTAAGTCATGCCATGAAGATAAATAACATCTAGAACACAGAAGAACACGTGTTGAACTTGTCACGACATGTCACGGATCAGTGTTGATCCTCTTTGTGTCTAGGAAAGGCATTGGAAGATGATGCCACAAAACTAATTTTAAATTCACTTCATGTGTCTCATACCCAACACTAGACGGCGTTTAATCATGCTGTTCATTACACATCAGTGTATGTATTAACGCTAGCTCTCAGCCAGGCTGAGCTAATTTCAGTGAAAAACTGATGTGTGTGTGTGTTGTCATTGGTGATTAGATTGAGACCAAAATGTCTGCTCGTTGAGAAGTTGCGAGCGATCGATCCGGGGTGCTTTCTACATCTTAACGTTTCTGCAGTGCAACCTCAGTGCTCTGACACCAACATCAACCCCTGATCCACTCGGCCCAATCCTCAATGCCGTTATGTGTACGTACGTTGAACCTTCTTCTTGGTTCTTTCGGTAAAGTCACGTAGAATGGAAATAATAAAAATAATAAAACATTAAATCATTCTCCACCTGAGGACGGCTGCTTGCGTTGCGGCCGAAACGTCGTGAGAATTATTTTATTATGTTTTATTTTTATTATTTCCATTCTACGTGACTTTACCGAAAGAACCAAGAAGATGAATCCCTGCAGTCACGAAAGCTTTAAATCGAAATTTACGTTGAACCTCTTTCGCACAGTACCTCGCCGACCGTGCTCATCGGAAATTGCAGTGGAAACAAAATCCTGGTTGTCCCTACGATCAGTGATGATCCTCACGGTGCACCATACAGACTACTTATCTCGGAGACTGTGAAATTACCGTAGCCCTCACACCTTGATACAGTCCTCGACATACACCATTTAAATCGTTTGGGCACGAGGGTGCGGGTGGGCTATTGTATACGTTCACCGTCCCGTGATCTTTTAATTCTCGTCAATAATTGGCAAAAGGTGACGGACACAAAGTGATGGGACGCTATATCCGTCGAAGAGTCGTTTCTGGTGCTCAGACGTGCACTTAATTCTAGATTTGAAGCTTTCGTGACTGCAAGGATTCATACTCTTAGTTCTTTCGGTAAAGTCACGTAGGTAAAAAATGAAATTAAAATTAATAAAATAAAACAATAAAAATCACGACAGTGACTTGCGCACAAACACGTCGTTGACCACGAGTACCCCGTCCCTCTGTTAGCCCTGCCCCCCCCCCACCCGATACGTTCCATTCATTGGCTACCACATTCTGATAAGCCCCTCCCCTCCCTCCGTCCCTTAACTGGTACTTAAGAGCTTACATCTTGAATCCCTCCCTCACTTGATTCAGCAAATCTGGCTGTGACGGTCCCACCTGATGACGGAGACTTGTGTTGCCTCCGAAACGTCGTGATTTTTATTGTTTGATTTTATTAATTTTAATTTAATTTTTTACCTACGTGACTTTACCGAAAGAACTAAGTGCGTGCACTTAATGCCCCGACGTCGTGCGTGAGAATTGTCCTAACGCCTTTGCGTTAATTTACGGAGTCCACTCCAAAGGCTGTCCTTCACGTGAATGTGTACTCTTTAACAAGTCCAAATGTTCTTTCACTGACGTATTTGTACAGTTTGTTTAAAATAGTTTTAAACAATTTATAAACCGCGCCTGTTAACGGTGGGCCCATGCGCAGTGCTTACAATCGTTTACTTGGAAAATAAAACATTTTCATTACCTCTTCGTTTTTTTAAAAGTGCGGTCATTGTCACGCAAACCATCAATGGGATTCAGAGTCCTCGTTAAACCTACTGCCGGCCGCAGTGAGTTAATTCACACGGGGTTCCTTTAAATAAAATGATAAAAGAGTTATATCTCGCGTAAAAACAATCGCTCATCGGGGTATCGCCTGCTTCGAAATATAGCAGTCGATTCATTCGTTGTTGATCACACGGACAAACGTGGTCAAATTACAAATGCTGTTTATAATAAAGGTTTTTGGGTTCGATCGCGTTATTTGTGAATGTGTCGCAACGCTCCACCACCCGACACGGCCAATCAGTAAAAAAATGTGTCACGTTGACAAAAGGCAAATATCTTCTTGGTTCTTTCGGTAAAGTCACGTAGAAGGGAAATAATAAAATAATAAAAATTAAACACTTGAGGACGGCTGCTTGCGTTGTGGCCGAAACGTCGTGAGAATTATTTAATTATGTTGTATTTTTATTATTTCCCTTCTACGTGACTTTACCGAAAGAACAAAGAAGATGAATCCCTGCAGTCACGAAAGCTTTAAATCAAAAGGCAAATAGTTCACTACTTTAGCCCACCGGTGTGTTGAAGACTAAGACTGAATGGCTACAATAATGCTCAATTTAACAGAACATTGAATGCCAAATCAAGATCGAACAACAATACTTCTAAAAGTGATCAGCTTATCAAAACAATTGAAATACCATATATCTCGGGAGTTACTGACAAATTAGCCCGTGTTTTGCAAAAGCAAAACATTAAAGTGAGATTTGGTACGGTACACAAAATTCCAAAACGAGTGTCTTGTACTAAAGATGAATTACCGGAATTATCAACAGAAGGTGTATATCGGAGTAATTGCTTATGCGGTGTTATATTGGACAGACGGGACGTAACATTAACGTAAGACTAAAAGAACACCAACGGAACATTAAATTATCCCAAACACAGCTGTCAGCAGTGGCAGAGCATGCTTGCCAACAAAGACATTCAATTGATTTTGATCACGTTGAAGTGCTATGCAGAACTAATTATTACTGGCCAAGATTAGTTAGAGAATCAATTGAAATTGAGAATAATTAAAATAATTGTAATAGCCGTGAAAGCTATAGACTCAGCGCAGCCTGGAAGCATATTAGTAAGCAATACACAACGCATTGTAATTCCTTACAGGTGAGTCACAAGCTAAGTGGTTGATTACTGATCGATTACATAATTGCATACACCCCCAACTCCGCCTTTGATCTCGAATCCTGATGGGGTTCAACGACGATGACGTCGTCCTGCACAGTCTGGCAAATCGCCCGAAGATGCTGGATCTAATTACCAGCGAAACGTCGTACTAAAATTGTAAATGTTGTGGATCCACTCTTTAACAGACCGGTGCGCTAAAGTAGTCAATTATTTGTCTGTTGTCAACGTGACACATTTTTTGTTTTACTGATTGGCCGTGTCGGGTGGTGGAGGGTTGCGACACATTTATAAATAACGCGATCTAACCCCAAAAAACCTTTATTATGAATAATACTGGTCGTGAAAGCCTGCTACGTGTTAAACTACAAAGGATTCCCAAACGGTAATCGGGTGCGATTGCGAGCTGCCCACCCACGTCTAACAATTCACATTTGTACTAATCATACCCTCCGTAGATCCCAATGTGCCTGTTATATAATGCATAGAATCACGTATGCTTATGTTGCAAACGTTATTTGCACATCTGAATATAATAATGTTTAATATTTGTCATTGACAATAATGTGTCAATTCTCTGCTGGCACGCCATGTCGGTGGTTATGGGGGTTTGACCATACTTCACCACGTGGGTCAGCTTGGTCAAGAAGGTAGGCAGGACATGTTGAGATCATATTCTTGGTTCTTTCGGTAAAGTCACGTAGAAGGGAAATAATAAAATAATAAAAATGAAACAATAAAATTCTCACGACGTCTCGATTGCAACACATCAGATGATGATTGCTTGTGTTGCAAGCGAAACGTCGTGAGAAGTTTATTGTTTTATTTTTATGATTTCCCTTCTACGTGACTTTACCGAAAGAATCAAGAATATGAATCCCTGCAGTCACGAAAGCTTTAAATCGAAAGTTATGGTTGTACTTTATTAATCCCTAATCTGTGCCATTACATACAATGAAACAATAAAGGTAAAAAAATAAAAACAGATCAACGTATTAGACATTATTGTAAAAATAAATAAAAAGTCCATCCTATCAGTGATTTTTTAAAAATATTTTAGGCAGGAAATGGCAGGAAATAATTTTCAAATTTAGAAGATTTGGTCCCCCCCCCCCCCCCCCAATGTTGACTCCATGGTCTCGGCCTTGATTTCGGATGTAGCTCTGTAATATCTGCTTGCATCGAGCATTTGCATAAACGGAATTTTAAAATAACCAGAGGGGGCATGGGTACCTCCTTTACTGCTGACAAACGTTTGCTTGTTTCCCACGCCACAAGGCAGGCAAACCAACACAACATCGAACCAATAAATTTCGATTTAAAGCTTTCGTGACTGCAGGGATTCATCCTTCTTGGTTCTTTCGGTAAAGTCACGTAGAATGAAAATAATAAAAATAACCATTTATTATTTTATTACTTTCTTTTATTATTTGATTATGTTTTATTTTTATTATTTCCATTCTACGTGACTTTACCGAAAGAACCAAGAAGATCTAACCAATAGTCACAGAGCCCTAACATTTTCTTATTCTTGGTTCTTTCGGTAAAGTCACGTAGAAGGGAAGTAATAAAATAATAAAAATAAAACATAATAAAATAATATAATAAAATACTATAATATAATTATTTATATTATTTTATTACTTCCCTTCTACGTGACTTTACCGAAACAACCAAGAAGATGAATCCCTGCAGTCACGAAAGCTTTCAATCGAAAAGCCCTAACATTGTAAAGGGTACCCACCACAAACAGGGGCCTCGGAGCGAGCATTGCTTCGACCTAATAACACAACACGTGGGGCCACGCGACCCCACACCATCGCTTCTGTTTCTCGACAGAAGCGAGGCCGCATGAGCTATACTTAGCCGTCACGCCGCCGTCGCAACTCTTGGCATTGAATTATCGCGTACAGGGTACGATCTATTTATAGACGGACACGCTGCGTGCTTCGCGTTCGGCGGGGAACAGTCCCGGACGTCGTGCAGAGAGTGATTTTGGCACGCCAAGTCCTCCACGTCGTCTCCGTTGTCAATGAACCTGTTCTTAGGTTTATAGGAACATAGGGTACAATGATACAATAGGATAATTATGGACGGGCGGTACCTTACACACTCGTGGTAGCCCCTTGTGGCCCATAAGCCATACACCCTTGCCGGATTAGAAATATCGAGTAATAAATTACGGTAATCCCTGGATACTGCGTTCAAATAATAGGAATTAGCGCGAAATGTAACATTGTTTAATTGCCTCTATACATACTAAACTTTTATTTTATTTTGCTGGGTAAGGCCCACCGAGCTACATAGCTCGTGTTGATGCGACCTGGGCAGAAATTATAGTTCAATGAAGTGGCTTATCACGTGGAAATATATAGCAGCCAAATACTCTAAACGCACGATTGTAAATGTGGAGGGGAAATCCGGAGGATCCGGAGAAAGATCCACGCGACCACGGGGAGAGAGAGAGACACGCAAACTCCAAATATACAGCAGCAGCAGGCGTCAGGGTCGTGATCGAACCCACGACCTCCTGCATACCAGGCGAGGTAGTTAACATCTCCTAGCCACCGTGATGATGATAGACGCAAACTCCAAATATACAGCAGCAGGCATCGTCAGGGTCGGGATCGAACCCACGACCTCCTGTCAACCAGGCGAGGTAGTTAACATCTCCTAGCCACCGTGATGATGATGAGAGAGAGAAGCAAACTCCAAATATACAGTTGCAGGCATCGTCAGGGTCGGGATCGAACCCACGACCTCCTGCATACCAGGCGAGGTAGTGAACATCTCCTAGTCACCGCGACGTCCACCTCTCACCAACCCATAACAGCTCACCTGTGTAGGGAATGGCTCCTTCCACACACACAAAAACGGGATCCATCGCTCTCGCACGCTTCAATCAGCTGTTGAGGCGAAAGCAAAGAGGTTCGTTAAGAGAGACGTGGCGTAATGAATTCGCAGCCACTGAGTTGAAACACAAATCTCTATCGTCGTTCACACGCTGATGCCGCACGAGCTCGCCCTCGGGCACCCACCCACCCACCTCACCCCTCCATCCGACTACCAATTAGCGATGTCGTTGTCGTACGAACAGAACGTGCCAATTTAGTGCTACTTCAGCACCACCGCTGTGTTTAGACAATAATCCGTCAACACATTTACGCGATCTAAGCCAACAACAACAACTTTGTCGCGAAGTGCAGAAATTCACTCTGCCATCTCCCGAGATTCAAAACGTAACGCGATTCGAGGAAGTCTCTGGAACATTTGGTGTTCACACCGATCATACAGCACACAGGCTTGTCACGAGGCCGCTACGTATCAAAGACGAGTTTTTTTTGTGTGCCAGGAGGCGAGGATGTGGCTGCGTGGCGCTTACTCGATTAAGAATTCGTGATTTCTCAAATGTTGGTACATTTGGAACCATGACGGTTTTAACACGTAAGGTTTTCGCGACCGATATCCACAATCCAGGTGTTTTTTTTGGGGGGGGGGGGTTGAACCGCGTAAATATAAATGCGTCGTTAAAGCCGCCACCACCCGACACAGACAATGAGTAAGGTTTGTTACGTAAACAGAACATGCCAATTCGTTACTAGTACAGCACACCGGTGTGTTGGAAAGCAAATCGTGGAAATCGTGGATTTGGTCTCTATACTTTGCCCCATATTTATATTTAGGCCAATCTCACCCCCAAACCCCCCCCCCCCCCCGTGTATTATGGTTGTACTGACGTGGACACACACGGCCTACTCGTTAGCGAATCAGACAGCTGCAACGTGTTCAGGTTTAA